AAAATGTCATTATACAACAAATAAGCTCTTTATAAAATTCAAGAATGTTTTTTTGAAAACTTCTGGCCATTGACCCCACACCTTTGGCTAGGATAGTGGTTTATATGGAAGAAATAGTTGAAAACTCACCACTGAGAAAATTATAAATAATTGGGTTCGCAGCACTGTTGGCATATACAAGCCAGTGTGAAAAGGTAAACCAGGCGTACACAGTCTCTCTGTCTTCCGTGTGGGTGAACATCCCAAATACTCTGTAGGAAAACAAACAACAACAGGAAATTCAGTGTGATTCTGGAAAGTACCTTTCAAATAATTAAATTCAAGGGTGATCAAAGCCCTGTGTAGAAGGGCTATGAAGGCACTGACCATGGTCAGGTTTAGAGCACTACAGTGGCTTTATTATAACTTCAGTGCCTGAGCACAATCTCTAGGGCACAATTGGTAAATCAAAAGTCAAATCAGGTGAGAGAAGGGTCTTTCTGTCCAGTAAACAGAAAATGTGATAATATTTCTTGTGGGGAAGAGTTCAGAAATTGAGGATCTGTCTATCATCTCCCTTCTTGCATTTTGTTTCTAAATACTATTGCACAATGTTTGCTAATATTCCATTTTTTGTGTGTTGTTTAAAAAGCACTCCCAACTGCAGTCTGTAAGTACTTCTTCTGATTTTCATTTGTGCATTGATCAAAGCACTACATTTCTTCAACTTCATTGCTGAAATTTGGCTTCTGGGACTAGTGAAATTCATTTTCACTAGGCAAAAACTCTGGTACTGTGTTAAAATTCGTAAGTTTTATTATTTTTATTTATTATTCTAAGCTCTGAAAAAAGATTTCACTTTTATATCCTCAAAAGTCATGTTTAAGTTTTCTTCCATATTTAGAAATACCCCATCTATCAAAATCTATTAACTAGGCAATAGCCAGTAACTTGCAAGTACCCAGTAAACTTACAGGCTGAAGATTATAATGCATTTCCTGCCACAGGCTCCATCTTTGATTGTGTCTTTTGTGCCCATGACAGAAATGCATTCCTGCAATAAAATGATGCACTGTGGGGTATGAGAGTTTTATGAAAATACACTGTGGAGTTAAACAACATGCACAAATGGAATTAATAACATCTTATAACTCTCTCCCACAGTTATCTTTGAAGTCCTAGACAAGACAGAATTGCTTTAAAGAAGTTGGTTTTTGATGAATCAGACAAAAAAATTAGGTTTCAAGGAGCAGAATTTAGGAATGTATTTGTAAGAGAAAGAAAACCCAAGTGTAACAGGCAAGGGCAAACAGATAAACATTGGAAGAAGATGGGTGGGGTAATGAGAAAAACACTTTTCAAGGTTATTTAAATTTAAAAAAAAATTTTGTGGAAAAGAGCAGAAGTCGCCAAAAGCTGAAAATATCTTAAGTTTAACATAGACTCCTCCTTAGGAAGCCATTTATTTTTATTGGAAAAGAAGGTATGTCCGAAGAATAAGAGGAATATTATGGACAGGTAGGTATTTGAAACTAGTTAAAGGACAAATGTAGGTGCTAAGCTGTGGGAAATCCAAGTGAGCAGAGAACAGGAAATCTAATTTTCATTGAATTTAGACAGACTAAAATAAAAGTAGAAAAAGGAAAAACGGGAAATTTTATTCAGCATCATACCATGTTTACAAAGTCCTTAAAAGCAGAAAACATCCATCTAGCAAAAGATCATTATAAATTTGGCTGGATTTCTGTAGTCAAAAAAAGTAAGAAAGGAATTATGGAAAGATATGGAGGGCAAAGTAGTTTTCATTGTCTCGTGAGCTGGCATATATCTCAATGTCATAAATGGTTGACCATCGCACACATTTCAGGCTGTGTCTGTAGCAAATAATGAAATAATGTTCCTGAACAAAAGTTCATTTTCCATTTCTTCTTCACTGAAAAAGTCACTAAGCAATCCAGAAGAAGGGCAAACAGAAGCAGAAATCTCTGCAGCTGGTTATACCACCTTGAGTCTGTGTGACCTCAATAAACCTGCCTCTCTCCAGAGTCCCCAGCTGTGAGGAATATGACACTGACTTTGAATCAGAGGAAAGTGGGAGGAGTAATCCTAGTTCAAGTTTGAAGACTATTATAAACAGAGTCACTATTCTCTTGGGATCAGTCTACATGTAGTAGTTACGATAATTCCAATAGATAATAATTCCCACCGTCCCTGAATCACTGTTTGTGTTGGTCTATTGTTTCAACTTAATAATGTGTCTACTGTGTCATCAATACATACTTTCTCTCACTCAAAAATTTTGTGCTGATTTTTGTTAGTATTCATTCTGAACTTGATTCAGTGACTTTAGAGAATGGATTTCTTTCTGTGGAAGCCTTCAAAACATGGTATGTGCCGTGATTCCATTTGTGTGTGTGTGTTCACTAATGTATCTTTAATTATAATTAGGATGCTAACAAAACATTCTTCTCCCTTTTAATCCTTCAGATAGGAGGCTGTCATGATTCTCTGTGTCTGAGGAAAAGTTTTAGAAAATCTGTTTGTTCTGGTAAAAAAAGAACACTGAGCTATAATATAAACGGAGCTTTTTGTATTAGAACTTTTTCTGCATCTAAAGCTTTGCAATTAGTTTGAAGAAGTCAGGGGAACATCTGTTTTCCGTCTGCCATTCAACAGAGAATTCGTACAGCCAGCAGCATTCAGCGCCTGAGCGGTCTAAAAGGCTGTTACCTGGTGGTAACAACACATTGAGTTTTCTGGCCTGACGGTTTAGTTTTTACTTTGACTTAAAAAAAGAAGTTCTTAATTAAGAACCAAGGAAAGACAGATCACTTCTTCAAATAATAGGAGAGCTTTACCTCTTTAGCACATTGAGGATGCTAATTGGTAGATAGCAAATTGCAAACACGAAAAGCACAACCATCAGCATCCGGGCTGTTTTCCGTCTGGCTCGGATCTGCTTTATTTCAGCAGCCACAGCACTAATCCTGGACTTGGTCTGCTGTCCTGGCCCTCGAGGCTGTGAAACAGGCTGTAGGGGCTTCCATTTTCTCTGAACTACAGATGATGTTCCAGGGATCTGAAAGGAGCAGAGGAGACCATTCATTGCTATCTGACTTTGGAAAGTTCCACTTTGCAGAAGTAAATAGAAAGCACAGTAAGGAGACTGTCCCAGAAGCCTTTGATCTGGGAGGTTTGAGGGCCTGATTTTCCTTAGAGTGTTTGCCGAGTTGAGAATGTTTTTGAGTAATAAAGTAGAGTGCCAAGTAGGAGTTTAAGGTGGAAAAAAGAAGTTGAAGCATCACAATTTGTCAAGGTCTGAACAGCTGCAAATGGAAAAGGTATCATTTTATAAAAAGAGAAGTTATACATCCAGTCAATGGAATATTATTCAGCACTAAAAAGAAATGAGCAATTCAGCCATGAAAAACCACAGAAGAAACTTACGTGCATATTACTAAGTGAAAGAAACTACTCTGAAAAGGCTGCATATGACATAATTCCAGCAGTATGAATCCTGGAAAAAACTGTGGAGACAGTGAAAAAGATCAGCATTGCCAGAGTTTGGGAGGTGGTGACTGGGGACTGAGGGGTGAATAGGCAGAAAGCAGATCATTTTAAGGCCGTGAGAACACTGCATGATACTGTAATGATTGTCACAAGTCATTATACATTACACAGTGTGTTTGGCTACATTGTCCAAACCCATAAAATGAATGATGGAACCATAAGGTAAATTGTGGGCTTGGGGAGTAAAAAAGAACACTGAGCTATAATATAAACGGAGCTTTTTGTATTAGAACTTTTTCTGCATCTAAAGCTTTGCAATTAGTTTGAAGAAGTCAGGGGAACATCTGTTTTCCGTCTGCCATTCAACAGAGAATTCGTACAGCCAGCAGCATTCAGCGCCTGAGCGGTCTAAAAGGCTGTTACCTGGTGGTAACAACACATTGAGTTTTCTGGCCTGACGGTTTAGTTTTTACTTTGACTTAAAAAAAGAAGTTCTTAATTAAGAACCAAGGAAAGACAGATCACTTCTTCAAATAATAGGAGAGCTTTACCTCTTTAGCACATTGAGGATGCTAATTGGTAGATAGCAAATTGCAAACACGAAAAGCACAACCATCAGCATCCGGGCTGTTTTCCGTCTGGCTCGGATCTGCTTTATTTCAGCAGCCACAGCACTAATCCTGGACTTGGTCTGCTGTCCTGGCCCTCGAGGCTGTGAAACAGGCTGTAGGGGCTTCCATTTTCTCTGAACTACAGATGATGTTCCAGGGATCTGAAAGGAGCAGAGGAGACCATTCATTGCTATCTGACTTTGGAAAGTTCCACTTTGCAGAAGTAAATAGAAAGCACAGTAAGGAGACTGTCCCAGAAGCCTTTGATCTGGGAGGTTTGAGGGCCTGATTTTCCTTAGAGTGTTTGCCGAGTTGAGAATGTTTTTGAGTAATAAAGTAGAGTGCCAAGTAGGAGTTTAAGGTGGAAAAAAGAAGTTGAAGCATCACAATTTGTCAAGGTCTGAACAGCTGCAAATGGAAAAGGTATCATTTTATAAAAAGAGAAGTTATACATCCAGTCAATGGAATATTATTCAGCACTAAAAAGAAATGAGCAATTCAGCCATGAAAAACCACAGAAGAAACTTACGTGCATATTACTAAGTGAAAGAAACTACTCTGAAAAGGCTGCATATGACATAATTCCAGCAGTATGAATCCTGGAAAAAACTGTGGAGACAGTGAAAAAGATCAGCATTGCCAGAGTTTGGGAGGTGGTGACTGGGGACTGAGGGGTGAATAGGCAGAAAGCAGATCATTTTAAGGCCGTGAGAACACTGCATGATACTGTAATGATTGTCACAAGTCATTATACATTACACAGTGTGTTTGGCTACATTGTCCAAACCCATAAAATGAATGATGGAACCATAAGGTAAATTGTGGGCTTGGGGAGGTTATGATGTGTCAGTGTAAGTTTACCAGTTGTGACACATGTACTGCTCTGGTGAGGGATGTTGATACTGAGGAGGACATTATATGAGCGGAGGTGAGTGCATAGGGGAAATCTCTGTCCCTTCCACTCAAATTTTCCTGTAAACCTAAAACTGCTCTAAACCAATAAACAAATACCTCTTAACTAAAAGAAGAGAGAAAACAACTGGCAAAGAATTGCTGTAAAAGGATGACAATCATATTGTCTTCTTAAAGAGCAGGAAAAACGGAGAATTGCAGAGGAACCCTGAATGGATTTCTTCATGTGTCAATACTGCCATCTGCTGCTAGACAGAAAGATAGGCTCTAACTCTCAGGCTTGGCCAAAGCAAATCTTTGAATGAACGGAATAAAAAATAAATGAAATATTCTCTGTTGCTTATTATCTGCTGTTATGGAATTACTGGAAACCAGTTCTGCAGTTTGGCCCAGCGCTTCCAAATACACACAAAAACATTGAGAATCCCTTGTGGCCTTACATGAACATTTCAAATAACTGGAATTTGTAACCACCGTTACACAACGTGTACTTTTCCATTTCTTTTCAAAGTTGTTTGATAAAAGCGCAGAGTCCCTCCAACCATAATATTTTCTTAATTACAAGCTCATGAAGATCGACAGGGTTTAGTGAGCAAAACAGTAAAATTCAGCATGTGTAATTTTTTTTATAAAGGAAAACCTGCCAACAAGCACCCTATAGCTGTGCGCTTGTTCTAAGACTCCATCTACGTCTTCTGTAAAGATTCTCAGCTGTTGCTTTTATATCTGTGCCACATGCCAGGACAGACGGGTGTGCCCTGTGGTCTCACAGAATAAATGTTGGATGGATTCTGTTGCTTTATACATCACAAGAACTCAGTCTGTTTGATAATCGTTAACTTGGGAAAGGCATTTTACTTTGATTTCCACCCAGATGAATAAATAGGATGTTCCTTTTGACCATAATTATTCTCTCTCTCGAAAAGAAGCAAATGAAGCTAATGAAAACTTGCCCTTAAGTAGAGAAACAGTTGATAAATTATTTCTCTTTTGAATCTGTATGTCCTGTCGTGTAGGTTGACCTTTTCCCATGGTGGTGTAGCGGTTGGCCCCACTCAGGCTTCTTATGTGTCTCACTAGTTGGAGGGAGATAGGAGCTGAGAATCCTTCCCTGCTAGTCTCTTTTTCGATTGCCTTCTTTAAAATAATTCAGGAGAAACTGCAATGGATGTTGGAAAGTTCCAGAAGACTTCCAGCAGGAGCAACCCTATAAATGTCTGCTAAATGACCTCAGGCTGTTTTCTAAATGATCTCTGAGAGGGCATTTAAACTTTACAACTCTATTACTGAATGCCCTCCTTAAGGTGCCTTCTTTAAAATAATTCAGGAGAAACTGCAATGGATGTTGGAAAGTTCCAGAAGACTTCCAGCAGGAGCAACCCTATAAATGTCTGCTAAATGACCTCAGGCTGTTTTCTAAATGATCTCTGAGAGGGCATTTAAACTTTACAACTCTATTACTGAATGCCCTCCTTAAGGAAAGAAACAGTATCCTGCATCTGATGCAGAAAGAAAGAGTTCCTATGAAGAGAAACTGCCATAGGGAATATGACAATCCTCCCTGTAATCAGAATTAAAAAACAAACAAAAAAGCAGTGATAATATCCTCTTTAGATGATGATTTGCATAAGGACAGACGATGTTTAATCCTGTACTTATCCTGAGGAGACATGCAAGTCCCCATTGATAACTTGTTTGTGCCCAGAGAAAGTCCTAAAAATAGAAACTACTGATCTTCACTGAACCTCAGGAATTATGCATAATCTTGAGTCATCATTAGTATAGTCCTAAAAGTAGATTATTGGAAATCCCAGTTAATAGCCGGACCTTGACACCTGCCTGTCTTGTGTATTTATGAACAGGATGAAGTCAGAAGCAAAAGGCAAACATGCTGCAGACATTAAAAGGGGAATGAGAGAATATAATGAGCAACCAGTAAATTTGAGAACTTAAAAGAAATGGATAAATACCTTGAAAAACAAAGATTATTAAAACCAACACTATCATTACAAACCTTGCTAGATAGATTCTTAATGAATGCAATCAAACAGTAAAGAATAAAAATTACCAATTTTATTCAGGCTCTGAAATTCAAAGAAATGTTAATGCTTTCCAACTAATTTTATGAGACCATACTTAAATTAATAATCAGACATGACAACAGAGAAAACCACTGACAGAAGTAGATTTTCTTCATGAATGGAGATGAAAACCTCCTTAAAAATATATTATCAAATCAAATCCAGCAAAAAAAAAAAGATAATAGATTTTGCTGAATAAATCCATCAGATTTATTCCAGCAATGCAGTTTGGTTTAACATTTAAAATCAATCAATGTCATTTACCATATTAGCAGAATAAAAGACAAAAAATATGACCATCTCAATAGATAAAGGAAAAGCATTGGAAAACTCGACACTCTTTCATGATAAAACTCTAGTAATAGAAGGAAACTTTCTTAAAAGGCTTTAGCTATCATCCTATGGAGGTCTTAGCCAGAACGAGACAAGAAAAAGAGATAAAAGGCATATAGAGTCTACTGAGAAAACATTATTGCTTAGAAGATTCCTAAGGAATCTACAAGAAGCCACTAGAACTATTACATGGATTTAACAGTAGGCAGGACCCTAAATCAGTAAGCAAAAAATAACTGTACTTCTATATATTAGCAGTAAGCAATTGGAAAATGAAATTTCAAAAAACACAAGTTTTGATAGCAAAAACTTGTATTCTTATTCTTTAAAAAACTATGGACAAAATATATGTGCAGAAAATTATGAAAACTGCTTAGCATTTTTAAAGAACTACATAAATGAAGAGATACATCAAGTCATGGATTAGAAAACAATATTGTTAATATGTCAATTCTCCCTCAATTGATCTATAGATTCAGTGCAATCAATCCCATTTAGAACAGCAGCAATCTTTTCATAGAAACACTGCTTTTTAAAACTTTAATGAAAACGGAAAGGACCTGGGATAGCCAAATCAATTTTAAAAATGAACAAAGTTGGAGGAATCATATCATCTGATTTTGAGGTTTATAATAAAGCTATATACATAATGTGTACGTATGTATATGTATGACTGTGTGTAGCAGAGAGGAAAGAGGACCAGCCTGATTTGTGCAATTTGCAAGTAACCTCACTTAAAAAGAGCTTGGGAAAGAGATCACCTAAGAAAATGGTATGGAGTTATGCAAGGACCTAGCAAAGAGCCATTTCATGGCCAGGAAGAAAGGCTGAGTGATTCAAAGGAAAGAGGAGCAGAGAGACAGATCCGAGGGTCCTTGGAAAGGGAGGATGCGCACAGTGAAGCCATGAGCAACATTCCTCTATGCTGGCGAACGATCAAGCAAGAAGCCTTTAGGAAAATATTTTTTGGAAATCATTAGTGATTTTAATGAGAGCTGATGCCATGTAGTGATGAGACTTCGACAGAATGAAGTGGGTTGAGAAGTCATTGGGGGTGGGAAGCGGGGAGTGGGGTGGAAAAGGAGCCCATAAACGTGTCAAGAATGTCAGCGAGGAGAAGGAGCCAAGTGTGAAATCGCAGCCGGAAGGGTCTGAGAGTTTGGATGACGCTCTTTTCTTAGTACATACGTAACAAATGCCTGCTGCAGGGAGACTTCGTTACTAACCACGTTTGTTAACTCGTTACCCATATTCCATAATAAAGAGCAATTGGTACTTGGTAGGCGCTGTCTCATTTGAAACAATAATCTCCTTGTATTTCTTTGTCTGTCAGGGACAACGGGGCTTGTTCGTGTTCCTTACATCCAGTGCCCTTTGAGGGTGATTGTGCTCCCAGACCAGCAGACTTTTTTCCATTTAACTCTACGACTTCTTGACAATTTTTTTTTTGACTGTGGCACTGGTCTTTTAGAGTTTTGAGGCACATGCTAAGATTTTACGATGAAGTTCATAAATATTTTCTTTGTCCTATCTCTTGACTTCATTATCACAATAAATCACTCTACTTTCAAATTCTACAGATAGCCCTTACGACTATACTGCTATTTCCGATCCTCTTCCCACAGCCACAGCCCCATACCTCCTGTCCTTTGTCCACCCCCAGATCGGCTGTCTCTCTCCGTGATTGCATCATAGTCAATTACCGCGTCTCTGTAGAAATTGGTGTCCCCTCTTCTTACTGGGATTCAGTAAATAGTTGTCACTGAATAGGCCCTCTCATGCTTCTGGACTTCTATGGACCTTAAAAGCTTTAGTCACAAATAACCTGTGGCTAG